CCATACTGCTTTCCACAGGGGTTGCACCATTTTACACTCCCACCAACAGTGAATCAGGGTTCCAGTTTCTCCACAACCTCGCCAGCATTTGTAAAGGTTAAAGTGTCTAATCTATATATCTAATCTGTATCTATATCTAATCTCTATCTCTATATCTATCTACCTATCTATCTATCTATCTATCTATCTCTATCTTGGCTTATAAGAATGTAAGGTTGTTATACAAATGAAAGTAAAAAGTGATATTTAGCATGGCCCCTGTGCAAGAAGGATACACAAATTTGTAAAGTGTTCCATATTTTAAAAAAACCCAGAAACAAAAACAACATAATGTCCTAAAGTTTGGAGCTAATACACATGTCTCTAAATTAATATACACTGGCCAATCATAAGCTATTAATTTAATTTTACATTAATATAATGTTTATGTTTATTTCCTTAATTTTTTATCGACAAGAAGGTTTCTAGCATGCTTAACATGTTAGATAGGTTGTGTCTGAGCAAATGGCAAATGAACGCACTAGATAAAATGAGTGCCTTCCTGGGTAAGCCAGGGTCTAGTTTGCTCTTGGGTGAACTAGATGGGAAATCTTGTGAGTGATTCACAGCTTCTGAAAACCTTGATGATCAGACATGAGTGGGTTCCCACTGGATGGCAAAGGGGGAGTAAGTGAGTTTGTTCCTGGATATATATGAGTATTTTGGCATTGGGTGATTATCATCATTACCTTTATGCTTCCTAGGATGTTGTGTTACTAACTTATAAAATATCAAACTCACACTCAAAAAATATGTAAATTTAAGATGCATCTGTAATCAGCTTCATAACAATGTAGGCATTAATCCTTAAAAATTATTAAAGCACCATTAGATCTCTTGCCTCACATGATGTGTAAAACAATAGAGTCCTTCACCTGCTTTTGATGTGCTGCAAGGATCCGATGCACTGGAACCTTCCATTCACCATGATGGCCAGCCTGGTACAGAGAGCTTCACATTCTTCCATACTGAAAGACAGAGCAGAGTCACGTTTGCATTTGAGACACTGAACACTGGGCTTTGGTTTATAACTTTCAGCTTGCCTGTTTCATTACAGTACTTTAGAAATATTGTTATAGTTCCTTAAAATGTCTTTTCCCATGCTGGAAAACAACAGTGTTGATGTTCTTATATGTTGCCAAGTAGATTATGACTTACAGCAACCCTATGAACAATGATTCTAAACCCTGTCCTATCTTGGGCTATCGTCACCATCTCTGACATATTTGAACGCATTGTTATAGTCACATCTTTTGAGGGTCTTCCTCTCACAACATGTAAATGAAATGTCTTCAGATAAGGTTAATTACTGCTTTCTGTACATACTTGATATATTGAGAGAGTATGGATATAGGATGCATCCCGGGCATACACCTTTCTTGATTTTTAATCATGCAGTGTTTCCTTTGCTCTGTTCTGACAACTGCCTCCTGGTCCAAGCACAGATTTCACATAAGCACAATCAAGTGTTCTGGGATTCCCATTCTTCCCAGAGTCAGCCACAGTTTGTTGTGATCTACACAGTCACATGCCTTTCCATAGTCAATGAAACACAGACATTTTTCTCGTACTTTTTGCTTTCTACTGAGATCCATATAACATTTGCTATCATTTCACTAGTGCCACAGCCTAAACTCAGCCTGTACAGAAGAGTCCAGAGAGGGCTATCATGCTTGGGACGGTGGAGGGACAGCATAAGAGAGGAAGACCCTGGATGAGATAGATTGACTCAGAGACTGGGGAAGTGGGGGTAGGTGCATCGGAGACAATGAAATTGGCTCAGGATAGAGCAGGGTTCGGAGCTGTTGTACTACGTAGCTATGAATGGCATTTGACTTAAAGGCACATAACAACAATAATACATATTTGATGCTATCTCACCTGGAATGTATTCTGTCAAACAAATTATTTCTTTAATCCTTTGACTCAAGGTCTATCTTTGCTAAAAAAACAAAAAAACAAAAACAAAACAAAACAAAACAAAACAAAAAAACCCAAAACCAAAAAAAAGCCCAGAATACAAAAATCCAACCAAAAAAAAAGCCGAGCTTTTTCATTATTACAGCTGTATTCCATATCATGTTTTTACATTTGTAACTAGTTGATTATACAAGCTCTAATTTCATAGTCTATGACAATGAGAGAATTCAAGCATCTAAAGAGTCTATATAACAACAACAACAACAGTTAATGAAAATTGAACAATTAGCTCCAGATTATTTAGTGTACTAAGAGTAAAGCTGGGATATAAACATGTCCCTTAATTGTAAACAAACGTGCTATGTTTTGGGCTATATGATAATTACAGTGCAAAGGCACATTTAATATGAAGTACAAGATAAGCACCATATCCTAAAAGAAGTCCCGCTAAGATGCATTGTTGACACTTATGATTGGAATCAGGGGTTCTTTTATGGAGTGGGGACAGTTGAGCTACTTGTTAGAGGCTTGTTAAGATTGAGAGTAGGAACCTTGGTGGCATGGGGTGTAGGTAGAAGACTCAGCTGTTAACTGAAAGGGATGGTTCAAATCTTCCAGCTCAGCAGGAAAAACATGGGCAGCCTGTCTCCATCTGTAAAGATTTACAGCCTCAGCAACCCAATGTATGTTCACATTGATACTGAGTTAGAATCAATCGCATAGCAATCGATAGGTTTTCTTGATGGTGGATGGAGGCCTTTAGGGAGACATAGATGACGTAAGAAGACTGTAAAAATCATGACCAATTTTACAACATTGCATGGGCCCTGTTTAACACTCAGCGGCTAAACAAAAAGTGGTTTAAACCCACCTGCAAGTTTTTTGGGGGTAGTAGACCTAGCTAATTTATATCTCCCTTAAAGACTATGGCCAACAAAAAAACCTCTATGGGGCATTGAGTTCTACTTAGATCAAAAAGTCACTGAGTAGAAATTGACTCTATTGGCACCAATCAACAATCACTGCCACTCACAAATTCACCACAGCTGAATTTTCCTTTGCCCTGTCTGACTTGGTCTTATGGCTAGAAGTAGAACAAACTTTAGTAAAATTGTGAACATTAACTGCTACAGACATTATACAAAATGACCTTTCCCCTTCTACTGTCAGAATTGTTTGTGTCATCGAATTTCAAAGTTCCCACCCTCAGTTACCTGTGAGAGGTAAGGATTACGGAACATTTGTTCTGTACTTCTTCTGAAATGATCCTCCAGAGGTGCCGTTTGGACTTGGGATCCATCCCAGAGCTGGGTTCATCCTTAATAGAAAGTTACAAGAGAAATAGATCAAATGACTTCCTTTCTAATGAGGTTCTTTGCATGAATCATTGAGTCACTTCCCTAGAACAGAAGTCATTTTGTGAAGCCCTGTGACTAACTTATACTTAATAAGCTTCTTTCTGCTGCTGTCAAAAAGCTCCAAATTAATCATCTAAAATTGTCAATCCATTGAAAAGGAGTCTCAGTTAACTTGGTACCTTGTTACCTCATGCCCGTCCCTGATATTCCTTTGAAAAAAATTCTGCTTCACTTACTGGCAAAAGCAAAGGTTTACGTTTAACACTACCTTGTTACACACACACACACACACACACACACACACACACACACTCTTTCTCTCTCTCTCTCTCTCTCCCCCTCTCCCCCATCTCTATTTCTATCTATCAATCCATCTGTCTTCTAACTAAAAATTATTGTTCCACTGTTCCTAATAGCAGCATTTGGAGTATGAATGAAAATACACTATGTAAAGCTGAAAGAACACAATTTGCTGTGTTGTTATATATGTTCAAGATATGTTTTTAGTTTTATACTATCAATTGAAATGTAATCCAGGGAAAGAAAAGCAAGATTTTTAGAAACTGCCAAGGAGAAAGCTAAAAATGACTATTTACAAATGATGTTTTTCAGTGTTGCTCAGTCTTGAGATTAGAAAAGCATCAAAGGATACTCTAACCAGACTGTAGATCTAAAGAAATGATAAAACAGAAATGACTTCCAAGTCAAGATGAGAAAAACAAATGAAAAGAAAACTGTGACAGCAGATAAGCCCATTCAGCAACAGGAGGCTTGTTTTTTGTAGAAAGGATTTAGAGTAAAATTTGAAGAAAGGAATGAGTATTAATTGGGGGAAACAGCCAAGGATATGCTGATATGTTGCCTCTGCTCCTGTTTGCCACTTATGTTGTTGTTGTTGTTAAGTGCCATCGAGTTGCCTGTGACCCAGCGACCCTGTGTACAACAGCCCTAAATTCTGCCGTATTGTGTGCCACCCTTACCATCTCGGACACCCCCCATTACCCCATTCCAACTTATAGAAAATGTTTATGAAAGAAAATACCTGTATTTTTGGTTCAGTTCATTAATAATAATATTTGCCTCGTGCTTTTAACATTTGAAAGTGCTTTACATCTATTATCTCACAGGGGTGTCTGAAGATTGCTTTGTTTACTTGAAGGTACACTTCTATTAGAGAATTCCATTATAAGCACTGACTGGCAGGGCTGTAACATGTAGTAAGCCTTTGATACTATACAGAAATATATGTCGTGCATTGGTCTATCTAGGCAGCTGAAGTGATTTGATCTACCGTGCAACTTAATCCAGAGCATAATGTGGCAATTTTATTGTTGGCTATTTATTCCATATTATTAATGCTCTTTCTGAATTTAGAAGTCCTCAAATAAAGAGGACCTTCTAAAATAAAGGCAAGATTCATTCTCTGAAAAAAAGTACCTCTCACAAAAGTTTACCTGGGAGCAGAATTCTGCCTACTAGAATATATTTATATGTTTGGTGATCAATTTAATTTCTCAATTATTAACCAAAATAGTAATATGTCTTATGGATTGAAATGTGTTCCCACTCAAATGTGGATCTTAAATCCTTACTTATTACTCTATACCTGTGGTGGTTATAATCCCACTTGGAGATTTGTGTTGTTACTGTGTGAATGAGGCAAATTTAGTGTAAACTGTGTCTGCAGTCAATCTTTTTTTACCCGTAAAAGGATAAGCAAGCATAAACAGAGGAGAAGATACACATCACATGATAGCCAAGAAACCTAGCAATCTAATCTGAAAAGAGAAAGAAAATTTCCTTAGAACAGACAGAATGTCTTTCCTTAATTTGGTCTCCTAATTTCAAACTTCGAGCTTTGAAACTATGGGAAAATAAATTGTAGTTTGTTAACGTCATCCTCATTTATTTATGGTACATCTGCTATATTATTAGGTGATGTTGAGTTGAATACAACTGATAGCAACCCTATGAACAGTTGACCCGAATCCTGCCCTATCTTATAGCATTCAATATACAGATAAGTGAAAAAATGCACAATGTGGTTTTTTCCTTGCTTCTGAAAGATGCAGCTAAAACTGAGTGAGATGTTCTTGATTACGTTCCACAAAAATGTGATTAATATTTTTTACTAAAAAAGAATTGAAAATTTTAGTACAATGCATTATACTAACATTTATCTATCCTCTGTAGTAGAGGTTGGAAAATACTACTTCATCTTATTGGTTACTAATAGGGGAGGGTAAAAGAAGACAGTTCTTCAATATTAGGAGTAAAATTTTACCTACTTCTGTAACCATTTACTCATTTAAATACCTTGAATTACTGTCCATTCCCAAGACATCCCATGACATTCAGCTAAATGTTTTGTTTGCAACCCCTGAGCCACAGCTTCAAGAAGAAATGTTCTGAGGATGGATTGTCATAGTAACAAATTATTTTCTTATAATAATTTCCCATAATGAGCTAGTGTACAGGAAGTGCTTTGCACCAAAGCAAGGACCCAGTAAGACCTCCGTGTTCACTACAGTAATGATGAAACTTCACCCACACAACTAGATCTGTGGTACTAATTTTTCACGTCTTTTCTACAGAATGGTTCTCTTACCAGCAACAGAATGGAAGGCTTGCCTATCAAGGCCAGTGCCGTGGATACTTTTCTTTTTGTGCCGTAACTGCACAGAGCAGTCGGTCTGTCCTTGTAGGGCATCAGGTGGAGTCTCCTAAGGAGTTTATGAACAGTCTGCGGACCAGAAAAGAGAGAGAGATTGACTTTTGCTAGCCAACCCTTAATGCACCAACTTGAAAAAAGACATCCATTTGTGAAAAGAAAGTTTTGTAATGAAGAAATATATGCCCCCAAATATAAACCACTTCAATTCAACATAGATTTTATTTTTCCCCCAGAGGACCACTTAAAATTTAATAGTTCACTTACAGAGATAAAAGCAATCCCGTAGAGATTCATTTTGAAATGGGATTTTTCTCTTCCAAATGTGTATGTTCAGTGTGTGTACAATTGTGGATTTTTCTTTTCTGCTGTATTACCACATAATTCTGTTGTAAAGCCTTTAAAAGAGATAAAACTCAACACTTCTCAAGGCAGGAATCACCATTGTTTCATCTTTCTTCTTACTGAAGGGTAAACTCTCAGAAAAGCGTTGTTTTTATGTGCCATCGAGTTGACTATGACTACTATTACCCTATGAACAAGAGCTCTGAACCTTGCCCTCTCCTGAGCCAGCTTCACCATCTCTGACACACCTGCTCAAATTGCCACTGTCTCTGTGTCAACCCATTTCATCCAGGCTCTTCCTCTCCTGCCTGTCCTGACCCTCTGCCCTTCCAAGCATCATGTCATTCTTCAAGGACTTATCCCTCCTAGCAACATGGCCAAAGGCTGTGAGACAGGGTTTAAAAATCCTTGTCTACAAGAAGCAACCCAGTTTCACCCTTTCCCATAGACATAGTGTGTATTTAAAACTCTTGTGTCAGGCTGTCTTCTTGAGGGTCTTCCAGGTTTTCACCAACACACTGTCCACGATCGAATGATCTTTCCTAATGATATGTCCAAAGCACCTGAGGTGAAGCCTCCCTATCCTCAGTTCTCAGGAGCACTCTGCCTGTATTTCTAAGATTGGTTTTATTCTTCTGGAATCCATGGTGTGAATCTATGGTGAATTATCTTCCATAATTCAAAGACATCGGCGCTTTTTCAGTCTTCCCTACTAATTGTCCTGCTTTTGCATACATATGTCATGGTGACATATAGATGAAGTAATATAAGTCATGCATACCTTACTTCTCAAGGTAATATGCTTGTTTTGTTACACTTTCAAAAGATTCTTTTTTGCAGGAGATCCTCTGAATGTGATACATCATTTGATTTCTTGAGTTCTTCTTCTATAGACGTTGCTTACTAGTCAAAGTAAAATGAAATCCTTGACAATTTCCATTTTTTTCTCCATCTGTTATGTTTCTTATTGGTCCAGTTGTGAAGCTGTTTTTATTTATTTTGTTTCTTTTTTTTAGCTGTTTTTATTTTAATGTTGATATGTGATGCAAACAGACGGCGGTATATTTGATTTTGAGTGCTTGGTGTCTTCTTGCCTTTCATTAAGCAAGGTCCTCGAGGGAGTGACCTGCATAGTGCAGTTGATGGAGTTAATGGATCTTCCTGCAACCCTGATGCCGTGTTCTTCAAGTATCCCAGTGTAGCGTATTGATTGACTAAAACGACCCTGATGTACATTTTTCCTCATTTTAAAATCAGCACTGTTCCTGTGTTCTTCTTGAAGAAGAACTAACTGCCTCTTGGTCCACAGAAGTGTTGTGCATAAACACAATTAAGTATTCTGGAATTTCCAGTCTGTGCAATGTTACCCATAATTTATTGTGATCCACACAGTTGACTGCATTCCGATTTGATACTAAAACTTTACCCTCTTAGCTTAGGAATTATAGCTTCTGAGGCTTATTTCTGTTATGAAGGAACACTAGCTGAGAGTGATATCCTAGATGGATGCATACAAAAGTTCCCCAGGGTCATGAAAATAAGGAGACTTCCCCTAAGACTTTGCCATTGATTAAAAAGGCTAAGAGTTGAAGGTAAGTGCAAAGATTAACAAAATTAAAATGAATGCTATTTTCCTTGGGCATTTTGCAGCTCATTCCAAGTTTTACTACTTACTTGAACTCTAATGCATGTACAAGCCTCACCAACTAACAGTTGACTAAGAGTCAAATTCAAGTGTGTGATCTTCCACTTGATCTACCTCATTGATATCAAGGCAGAATCGACTCCCAGATGCCTTTCTGATAGATGATTTCTGAGGCTGTGGATTGCATAGGAGACTGTCTATTTAAAGAGTATCTAAAGCTGTGTCCATGGGATGTCGATTTTATATATACACTGGGGCTAAGATAACAGCTATTATCATTACACACGCCATCATTCTCTAGACATTAGCTTGGTCTTCTGGGTGAGTGTGTGGGTACAGAAACAATAAAGGTTTTCAAATGGACTAGTGTTTCAGATGTGTACTCACCTCCTTAATGTCTTTTTCTGGAATTCCATGTATCCTGGCGTAGAAATACAAATGTTCTTCCACAGTTACCAGGTCATCTAAGGCATCTTCTTGAGGGCAGTAGCCAACTAATGAGCTGTGAGAGTCAACATGACCCAGAGATCTGAAGGCAGAAGAAGAAAAATACAAATGAAATTCAAATTACTGGACAACAAAAGCCATTGAAGTCAGATCCAGTCCTATTCACAGCAACGCTTTGGGCAGAAAAGAACTGCTCACAGAGTTTCCAAAGCAGTGAATCTTTGTGTAAACAGGGGCCATGCTTATCTCTCATCCAGTTGCTGGTGAGTTAGAATGAATGCTTTAATTATTAAACCACCAGGGTTCCTAAATTTAGGAAAGTGGCTCAGTTTTGGCCATGGCAGGTAGTTTTATCAAATCAATTATTTATGGAGTTGATTCTGACTCATGATAAATTCATATGCTTTAGAGAAAAGTTCCATGGAGTTTTCAACAGCTGCTTTTTCAGATGGTGACTTGACTTCTAAGGTGCCTCTGGGCAGACTTGAACCATCAACCTACTGGAATCTTAATGTGTTATCTGTTTGCACAACCCAGAGACAGTGATTCTGATAGGGGCAAATAATAAAGGCACAGTAATGGGTAGAAGAATTCAAAATAACTCCATCAACACCACACACTTACAGGTCTAAAACTGTCCTTTCGCTTTTATGTAACTCCCCTCCAAAGATTTAGTAACAGAACTTTAAAATAATACTGAGAAGTCCATTTCACTCTTTTGATTATACTGAGCTCTCTAAGTTTCGGCATTAGTTTCTCATACCCCGTCTTATTTCTGATCAGAATGTTTCCACTTGAAGGAATTATATCTCCAGTCAGCATCTTGAAGATTGTGGTCTTTCCTGCTCCGTTCACCCCAAGAAGGCCAAAGCACTGGTTCAGGGCAAAAAGAAAAGATATAAGCCTTAATCCAAACCAAAGATGTACTGCTATAATATCTGCTTCCTATCTCTCCTTGGCTGAAAGAAATCACCAAGGAGAAGAAATCAATGGAATTATTCCCCAACACCGTAGTTCTCTTGTGGCAGACTACTGAAACATTCTCCTTTAAAACTAATGGAATGATACGTGTGTGTGTGCGCGCGCGCATTTTAACTACCGAGCATTTTCAGATATTTACATACATGAGACATGTTTTATATAAGATGTAACAGTGCAGACCTATGTGCCATGGTAAAACACCCTCCAAGTAAGATTCTCTAACCTGACAAAGTAATTATATTTATAGATTTCACATTATTCATACAAAATCACAAGTCTCCTGAATAAGCTACTGAAGCAATAATTCCTTTATGCTGTCACATAAATTTAATACGTTTAGTTTGCAGCTCTGCTCAGAAAACGGAGGGGGAAACCCTCATTCGCTCTCTCCTTTCAAAGCTGCCTTAATATTGCCTCGGCGAAAGTGGCAAGAATATAAATGACAGTTCCACTACCTCTCCTCTGCAAACTAATTTCTTTAAGCTGCCCTTTCAGGAGGACTGAAAAGTGAAAGTCGAGGAGAGCACCCTGAGCAGGCGTCTGAACTGGGAGTCACCTCAGAGAGGACAGCAGCTGGAAGACACTTAGGCTGCGACATGCGGTAGCAGTTGGTGAGACTCCTTGCCAAGCCGACTGACTCGGATTTACTAACACAAGGGCGTGTATGAGTTATGTCTCTGGAATTCATGGAGATATTTAGGGACAGACTACTCTTCTTTCATCAATATAGTATACTCTTTATTTCCAGAAAAAGAAAATTTGGGGAATAATCTAATTAATATTTTATCTTTGTCTTAGTATGTTCTTAGGGAGCTCTGGTAGCCTAGTGGCAGGAAGCTGTGCTGCAGTACTGAAGGCACGCGGTTCAAGGCCACCAGATCCTCTGTAGGAGAAAGATGGGCAATCTCCTCCCCTGCAATTAACTGCCTCTGAAAACCCGCTGGGTCGGTTCTGACTTTACAGTACACAACACAGCATGATGCTCTTAGAGAGCGCAGATTATTTAGGCTGTAGAGAGCCATGCCATTGCTCACTCTAAGGCCATGCCGCCTTCATGGTTCAAATCCACCAGGGCCCCATGGAGAAAGATGGACAATCTGCTCATGTGATTTACAGGCTCAGGACTTGAGTGGAGGGTCAGCTATTAAGTTGGTTCTGACTCAATGGCAATGAGAGAGATACTGATCCAAGTGTATTAGAAAGAAAGAGTTTTGTTTTCTTACCTCTCCAGCAGGTATTCCAAGGCTGATGTTGTTGACAGCTATGATCTTTTTGTGGATAAGCTGGTAGGTCTTTGTGAGGCGATGGAGTTGGACCAAGTCAAATTCAGCAGCACCATTCTCAACTCTCAGTCTCTCAGCCCGAACATCTTCATCTTCTTCTATTGTCTCAATTATAGGTGAGGAGTTAAATTTTCTGAAGAAGAGTCTGAAAGATGGATTTTGCATCATGATTTTGAAATAACCACCATTCAATTCTGACGTGCTTCCATGGCTTCTTGCTTCACTGAAAGTGGACTAGGTTTTCCCAACATCTGTAATGCTATATGCTACTCAAATAACTGAGAAATCGGTTAAGCAATGTCCATCAGGTTTAGCATGCTATTTGGAGAACTAATTTTGCTTTTCATCTCTTCTGTGTGTAAAGACTCACCTCTCTTACTAATACAACCTGCAGGCTTCATTTCAGTCACAAAGAGATTAGGACAAGTGTGAAAGGCACATTCTAATAGTTAAGATCATTAGAAGACTCAACACCTCAAAACTGACGATCAATGGTCACCTTTAAAAAAATCTTCTCTATCCACCTCCTCTCATAAATAGGGTAAATGTTAATCCATAATCTTTATACTGTGAATCCGTCAAGTATTTCACCAATGCTTTAGATTTTAGCATTGCAAATTCACCACTAACCTCCAAAGTAAATCAAACCAAGTACAGTTTAAAAATTCAACAAATTAATCCAGGTCTTCTTACCAGAGTACCTCGTTGGTTGTTTTGTTTTGGTTTGGGGGTTTTTTTGTTTTGTTTTTTTTAGTGACACTATCACCCCTACCCCCCAACTTCAGCTTGGATTTTTTTTTCCTTTGGGTCCCCTCCATGCCAAAGTCTATTTGGAAAGTCAGCAGGTCAGCCCCGGAAATGCCTCTTATACCACTTTCTGGCATTGATTAATTTTTTTTATTGTTTCTCCAGGAACTTCAGATTATTTCTTAGTCTTCCCATGAGCATGACCTCCACTTTAAAACTACATCACCTAATGCCCAGTTTTATCATATTAATCTCCACTCAAAACCCTTAACTAGACCATCATTTTGTTTGTTGACTAAAAACCTAACAATAGCTCTTTAATCAAGCAATCAAGAGACACATCATTTCCCAGCTACCCTTTAAGCTTTAGCTACTATTGTTTCATTACACTTTTTCTCTGCTCTAATCAATTTGTACTAATCCTTTCTTAAGTGTACCTTAAATTTTTCCCTACTTATGTTATTACCTTATCTTTCTTGATTTCTATATCATTTCAGTACTACTTTTCAATAGGTAATATAGAAGACACCATGATTGAACTGGTACTGAAGATGGAGGCTTGGTGGTGCTGAGATTAAAACACCCAGATGCTAGCCAAAATTCCTCGACCACTCTGCACAGAGCTAGAAATATTTAGCAGTTTACTTTCATAATGATTTGCAGCCCTGACAATCCTATGAAGCAGTTCTCTGTCCTATAAGGTGCTAAGGGTGGAAACAAACTTGATGACAGTGAGTTTGATCTTTGGCTTTGGAAACAGAAAGTGAAAAGAACACAATTGTGCATGTCCTCCT